TGGAGACTGGAGAGGAAGAGTGACGAGTTGAAGAAGAAAAACTAAAGAAGAAGGCTTAGGGTTCCTATTTCCTAATTTTATTGATTTGCATTCAAATTAGGTTTTTTTTTTAGTATTTTACCATGGAATTGTAACGTATAAAGGAGGGCAAAAGGGTATCAAGCAAAAAAAAAAAAAAAAAGTATAAAATAGGTGAGATAGGTGTTGAATTAAAAAATGGTTGAAAAAAAATGAAAATGACGGATTTGAGTTTGGTCCACTAGGTTTACCGTGTCTTCTGGGTTGGACAGTTTTACTAAGTCTGGCGAGTTTGGGTAGTTGGATCGCCCAAACGATTCTGGATATGCATTCGGTTTGTTTTCATGATCGAGTGGCGGTTCGACTGATTCGATCGACCAATCCAATCCAGATTTAAAAACACTGATTAAAATTTATATTATATTTTATACATTTAATAGTTGAGATTAAATATTTTAATATTTTTAATGTTAAAATATCTTAATTTTTTCTTTTCTTTATTTTAAAAATAAGTTTTTAATGTATGCCTTTATGAAATATTTTAAGAGTGAAATTATTATATATTTTTATATTAATTAATATTAAAAATATATAAAAATTATCATTAATTTTATTATTAGTGTTATTTAAATTATTTTAATGAAATAATTATTTAAATAAAAGTTATTTTTATTTTTTAATATTAAAATATATAATAATTATACCTTACACAAATATGTTAAAAATCTTTTAAAAATGAAATGAGTTTTTTCTAAGCAAAGAAAGATGTTTTTCCAATAAATAACTACCCGGGTGCATTTGTACATCACTTTTAATATTAAAATATCTTGTTATTGAAAATATTTTTAAATATATATTAATTTATTAAAAATATTTTTAAATATATATTTTTCAATGGTTTAACGGTTCACATCAACATCTAATCAACGAAAGAACTGAAAAAGTGTCAGTCCGTCAGAGAGTTGAAGCTTAAGAATTATTTTGACATTTTTTAAGTTTAAGGATCATTTTAGTCCAAAACTTAAAGTTTAAGGGTTAAAGGTGAAGATATAAATTTTTTTAAATATGTGAGAGAAGAATTTCTTTTTAATCTAAAATAAGTTTTTTCAAGGTCTACCAAATGTGCTCTTAGTTATACTTGTATTAAAATCACAAGACATTCAATTTTAGTTATAGGATGGTGAGACTCTGTGTGAGTTTAGTTAAGTCTCATTTATCTAGTAATTAGAATTATTCATATTAATATTTTTAATATGAATATATCCTAATTTTCGGTTTTTTATTAACCAAATTAACATTGCATTTTTTTTTTTCTTGATTTAAGCGTGGGATGAACTTAACCCGTGCCAGATAGGCCGCCAGTAAGGGGAGCACTGTGTCTTTTAAGAAGGTGTTGGATAGAGTTTAAAAAATAAATTTTCTACTCATAAATTTAATAATGTTGAAAAGAAATTTAAAATTTAATTTTTAAAGTACCTTTTTTTATAGAATTTTTAAAATATTTTTTAAATAAGTATTGAGAAAGCTACATATTTTAATTTTTGAAATTTGAATAAAAACTATTTTAAAAATTAATTAAAAAAATTTTTTTTCAACAAGTTTTCAAATTTTATGGGAAAAAAAAGGAGCTTTTCAAATTCCATTAAACACCCCCTAAAAGTTTTGTCTTTTTCTTACATGATCATATATTCTGATCCATCTCGAATGTTCATCAAATATTTTTCTTTTCAGCAAACTAAATTGGTTAATTCCTTGCACACCTAACTTTAGCTGCAAAATCATTTTCCCTAATTAAAAAGGTCACTTTCTTGACCGTGACACGTAAAGAAAAATAAAAATTTTAGTACTAAAAAAGAGGAAAATTTTTGGAGTATTGAAAATTTTCGGTTTCATTTAAAAAATAAAAAGAAGAAAGAAAAAGGTTGTTGACAAATTTTTTTTAAAAAAAAAACTAAAAAAAAAATAATGTTATTAGATAGGACATCACAATTTCGATTGAGGTTGAAGAATTGGATATATTTTTTTAATAATAATAATAAATGAAAATAAAATTTAAAATTAATGATATAATATAAATTATGTTATTTAAAATATTAAAAAATTAATTTTATATTATTTAATAATTAATTTTTTTATTTTTTAAAAATTCATAATAATATATATTAATTAATTTAATAATATAATTTATATTATACCGTTAGTTTTAAAATTTTTTTCTCACCGCCATTACTTATTATTATTTTTTTTTTATGATAACGCAAGGGGACCATCCCCCCAGCCCCAAGCAAGCCGACGGAGGCTAGTCTCCGTATCACAACAGATTTTTTATTCTTTTTTAAAGTTATATTGATGATTTAGTCCTTACTTTTAACAATTCAATTAACTTGAGAACTGATGGGTCCCAATGGCATTACTTCTTTTTTGATTGCTGAAGAATTGGATCTCAATTCCCTGTTTTTTTTAATCGTTGAAGAACTGAATCTTAATTTATGGTATTAATTAGATGGGATCCTATTAATTGTACCACATCTCTACCCTACCGCACCCCAAAAAAAAAAAAAAAAAAAAAAGCTAAAACCAACATTTAACCTCTCACTTAGAAATGGTAAGTTTTAGCTATTAATCTTATAATATGACATTTTTAATTTTTTACTTTATAAAATTGATAGATTTTAACCTCTTTACCTTATAAAGTTGATATGTTTTAACTCCTCACCTTATATTAAGACACTTTTAACTCTTTATCTATATGAATTGAAGAAAATAACCCTTATTTAATATCAAATTTTAATGTTCTATTAGTTTTATTAACTGATTATTAGTTCTGTTAGTTGACTATCAGTTTTATTAGTTAAATGTTAGTTCTGTTAGTTGACTATTAACATCCGTTAACATTTCGTTAATGAAACTAAAAAATAAAATTGAATTTAAATTTCATATTTTTATAACATAATGCTAACAGATATTAATAGTCAGCTAACAGATGTTAACAGTCAACTAACAGAATTAACAGAACGTTATAACTTGATATTAGGTAAGGGTTATTTTCTTTAATTCGTATTGATGATAAGTTAAAAATATCATAATATAATATAAATGGTTAAAACCTATCAACTTTGTAAGATGAAGGATTAAAACTTATCAATTTTGTAAAATAAAAAGTTAAAATTATCATGTTATTAGGTAAGAAGTTAAAATTTATCAATTTTATAAGGTAAGGGACTAAATGTTGATTTTTACCAAAAAAAAAAAATTCTGAGCTAAAAATAGTGTTAGTCTTTGAACATAAGAAATAAATTTACCAAAAGACAAGTGAAGCCGATATTCCACTGTGTTCGCATTATAAATG